GGCATAACTTTTTACATTTTTGATGAAATGCTTTCAAACTCATAATATAAGGATATACTAGTGGCATAGACAATACGACATGGTCAAAATAGCAAGATCTCACGCGCATGCACATGCGCTGCGCTCTGATTGGCTGAAACTAAAGTGTCTATATCTTTCTTGTTTTTCCACGAAATCCTATGAAATTTTGAACATAGACATGCATTAAGATATCCTACAATTTGATATATTGCAATTATCATGAAAACACGTGCATGCACGTGCGCTGCAATCTGATTGGCTGAAACTTTAAATAGCTATAACTCCCTTGGTTTTCAACCAAACAGGATACGATTTGGAACATAGATAGATATAATGAACTTCTACAAGAAGGTATGGTCACCATACACATGCATACACGTGCTGTAATCTGATTGGCTGAAACTTTAAACAGCTATAACTCCCTTGGTTTTCAACCAATCGGGGTGGGATTTAGAACATAGATAGATGTAATGGACTTCTACAAGAAGATTTGGTCACCATGCTCATGTATGCACATGCATGCACGTGAAATGAGTTAAATAAAAAATACACTTGAATGAGCGTATTTCTTAATACTTTTGGATTAAATACTTTAACATTTAGTATAAAAAAAAAATATATAGACTGTGTAGACAAGATTATATGGTCATTACGCACATGCATTCACATGCGCACGCGTGCAATGCTAAAATTGGAATGAACTTGGCGTTGTCAAAGTTTCAAATGCATAGATTTTGTCCTGTTTAATGAAGCTTACAGGGAATATGGCACCAAAAGAGAGTTGCAGAGCGTTTGGGGAACATCTGTAACGGTCCCCGTTACAATTAGCACTAGTTATTATTATAAGGGTCTTCCGTCTCCAACGGAAGACCCTTCTATTATTCTATTGTTTCTTTTTCACTTTTATTATTATTATTATTATTATTCTTTTTCTTCTTACAATTTTTGTGCAGAAGATTTCTCGGAGATGGCTCGATCGATTAACTTGAAATTTTCAGGAAAGGTGTGTCGTCAACTAAACCTGATCCGTTTTTCTCATTTTTTTGAAAATCACTTCCGGTCGGAAGTTATTGCCCTTTAATCAAAATTTAGAGGACCTCCTTGTCATCACCAGAACTCAAGAACGGCTAACGCTAGAACACTGAAATTTTTACCAAAGATAAAGGACATGTTGTCAAGATGCACAATGGTTTTCAAATTTTCCGGAAATGCCTAGTATGGAAGCTCGGTAGGGGTCAAAATCTAGGACACGTATCATGACTGAATTTTTGAGACATTTTGCATCATATCTTTTAAAATATAATTATTTTGTTAAAACATACTGAGCAATATTTGTGCAAAATGACAAGATCTTTAATATGATATCAAGAAAAATGTGCTGACTCATCACATTAGGAGCCGAGAGGGGCCAAAAGTATTTATTCGATAACTCTTTAACAGTCAATATTTTGTTATTAATTACTGAAGCAAAAATGTTTATCTCAACAATCTACAACTATATATTACAATTGAGTGTCGTATGGTGCATCATAAGGGGCCATAAGGGGCCAGAATGCTAAATCTTTGACGCTTTATATTTCAAAAGAGGGAAATATTTTGATAAGTAATATTGAACAAAAGATGTTCAAAATATAGTTCTGAACAATATGCAACCTCTAGTTTTTCGCTATACGTCCCCTTTAAGGAGTTGAAGGGTTGGCCCCTAAATATTTCTTTTGTAAATAACTTGAAAACGAAAAAGAATCTCTGAATAGTTGTTGAACAAAAAGTGTTCAAAATCCAAAGAGCTTCAAAATCAGATCAAGAAAAAGGGACTGGGAACTCAAATTAGGGGCCAAAAGGGGCCAAGAGTCTTTAATCGATAACTCTTTAGCAGTCAATATTTTGTTAAACATTACTGAAGCAATAATGTTTATCTCAACAATCTACAACTATATATTATGATTTGAATGTCGTATGGTGCATAATAAGGGGCCACAAGGGGCCAAAATGCTCAATCTTTGACGCTTTATATCTCAAAAGTGAGAAATATTTTGATATTGAACAAAAGATGTTCAAAATCATGTTCTGAATAATATGCAACCTTTCATTTTTCGCTAAATGTCCCCATTAAGGAGTTGAAGGGTTGGCCCCTAAATATTTCTTTTTCAAATAACTAGAAAAGGAAAGAGAACCTCTGAATAGTTGTTGAACAAAAAGTGTTCAAAATCCTGAGAGGTTTTAGATAATATGAAGAAAAAAGGGCTGATCCCTAATATTAGGGGCCGTGAGGGGCCAAAAGTCGAATTTTTGAGTCTTTATGTTCAATGTCTGTTTACAGATTATGGAGGCAAAATCGTTCTTCTTCACAATCTTTATCATTATTTTAGAATAAAATTCTCAATCAAAATCTTATCTCATCTTATCAAGAATCGGACGGAAGACCCACTCGTTGCTCGCAACGAGATCGTATCTAGTTCTTATTCTTATTTTTCTTCCTGGGAAAATTTTGTCCGCGAGTGATCTTGTAAACTACACATCCGACTTAGGTGAAACCTTTTTAGGGTAAGTAGGCATGTTATGTAGATTTGCGGAATCAAGGTCATTTTGCGCGCACGTGCTTGCAAGAGCGCGCACGTGCAAAACTTAAAATGACCAATATATAATGGATATAACCGTAACTTCTCTTTTTTTTGACGAAATGTTTTGAAACTTATAATGTAAAGATATATTTGTAGTATGCACCAGCTGACATGGTCAAAATAGCAAGATCGCACGCTCATGCACGTGTGCTTCGCTCTGATTGGCTGAAACTAAAGTCTCAATATCTTTTTTTGTTTTTCGATAAAATCATTTGAAATTTTGAACATAGTCATACATTAGGGAGATCTACAGTCTGTAATATAAAATTTTTCATGAAAGCATGTGCATGCACATGTGCTTGCAAGAGCTCGCACGTGCAACACGAGGAAGTCCAATATAATTGATTCAGACGTAACTATTAAAATTATTGATGATCATTTTATAAGTATATATTAGTAGTATGCACAAGCTGACATGGTCAAAATAGCAAGATCGCACGTGCATGCACGTGTGCTTCGCTCTGATTGGCTGAAACTAAAGTCTCAATATCTTTCTTGTTTCTTGTCATAATCCTTTGAAATTTTGAACATAGACCTACATTATGAAGATCTACGGCATGATATATAAGAATTTTCATGAAAGCATGCGCATGCCCGCGTGCTGCAATCTGATTGGCTGAAACTTTACATGGCTATATCTACTTTGTTTTTTGACGAAATGCTTTGAAATATAAAACATAGTCATGCAGTAGGATATCCTACAATATGAAATAGAAAAAAAATCATGAAATCACGCGCATGCACGTGTGCTGCAATCTGATTGGCTTAAACTTGAAATGGCTATAACTCCCTTGTTTTTCAACCAAACAGGATGGGATTTAGAATATAGATAGATGTAAGGGACTCCTACAAGAAGGTATGGTCATCATGCACGTGCACGTGCATTTGGAACGAGTGAAATGAAAAATACATTTGATAGAGTGATTTTTCATACTTTTGGCCTGAATGCTTTAATATATTGTATATTAAAATATGTAGATAGTGTAGACAAGATGATATGATCATAACGGACATGCATTCACATGCGCACGGGTACAATGCTAAAATTTGAATATAATTGGTATCCTTCTGAGAAAACGTTGTTAAAGTCAAAATGCAAAGAGTTTGTCTTATTTAATGAAGCTTACAGGGAATATGGCACCAAAAAGGAGTTGGGGAGCGTTTGGGGAACATCTGTAACGGTCCCCGTTACAATTAGCACTAGTTTACTTTACAATGAAGGCTAAAATATATCTGACGGATCGCAAAACACTGATCAAAGGGTTTTAAAAACGATATTGTGCCTCACATATATTATAAATTAATAAAATATGCATAAATAAATATGTTGACCCCCCCCCCCCCCCGTTTCCGACGCGGCTAAACTCATTCAAAAAATAAATAAATAAAAACCCCACACAGATAAAATTCACCCAGACCTTACCCAGAATATTTTTTTTGTTCTCAAAGCTGATTTAATTTTTTTTTTTGTTAAAGTTCTAAACATATAATTACATTTTTTTTACTGATCGGTCTATTTAGGTCATCTCAGATATTTCACGTACATGTGTGATAACATGGATAATTGAACGTGACATAAATGTATGTTGCATGAGTATCTAGATATTTTAAGTCTGTTTTTTCAATTAATTTTCAAGAAACCATCAATATTTCACAAATCCTGAGAATCATTTAGCACGGCCACAGGTTTGCACAATTCCAGGATATTACATTATATAGGGATTATATGTACGCAACATCTGTCGATTTATTGCAGATTCCACAATACACACCATGCTATTAATATTGTAACATACATTATTCTCTCAAACTGTTAGTTGTTACTAAGAGAATCACAAAATTACAATGAAAAGTTACTTCGTTTGTTTTTCGAAATCGGTGCTATTTTTAGAAGTTGGAAAAACCCTTGTAGTGTGTATATGAAGATAACATCGTTTTAACTGCATATTTTGCCAAACCAAATTATAGTAAGGTGTTTTCTATTTAATATCATATCAATTCTTTTCTTTGATTAGTTATAATCTGTTCCTTTGGTGTATGTTTTATGATAGCGTCCTAGGCCGTCTTGACGACGCGCCATTTTTGTTTACGAAGATAGATGTTCCGAGAACTGCCGATGTCAAACACCTCGGCATTTTAACCGGAAGTGGCTTATTACACCTCTAAATCCTTAAATGACATTTCAAGTTTTTTTACTTATAAGCCTAATAAATAGAGTTCTGTGTATAAATGTGTATCTGCAAAAAAAAACCCATTAAAAATGAGTTCGATTAAAGCCTTAAAGTTAGTGATTTTTCAAACTAACTTTCATGAAACTCAATGAAACAAATTTTAAAAAACATTAATAATAAAAGGAAATTAGAATCCAATTTCAATTTCATGACTTACAACTGCAGGAATTATATTTGAACCATGTAATACAGCAATGAATGTCCCTGAAGAGTAGCTTTAAAAAATTGCAAGGCAAGAACATGATAAAAACCATCCATGTATTATGCATTTCTAATTTGGGCATGTAACAGAGATCAAAACTTTTAAAGATATACCTTTGATTCTGGATCTGTGGGTCAACACTGGACACTGAAAATGGACTACCAGGAAGTAGTGGAGACAAGTCCTGTGCTTGCAACTGGTCTACTGGAAAGCTGAAGAAATGTTGCATTATTAAAGCTTTAAAGTTACCTGTACTTTCTTTTTACTAAAATTTACACGCTTTAGTTTCCAATATATCAAGTACTATACAAATACTGTATAAATTGCAATATACAGTATATATTCACCTCTCAGTCGGACCAGTTTCATCACGTTTAGTTAGTTCACACAGAATGTCTGGAAATATCCTTTAATATAAATTACATCTAGTTAGCTCTAAGGCACAGAGATGTAAAGCAACTTTAACTTGATTCAACAATATATAGAATTACTTCACCGCTGCCATAATAAATATGTGTTACATGTACTCACCTCTCAGGCGAGTCAGAAACATCAACTGCAGATTGTTGAAATGGAATCTCTGGGGAAAGCCTTTTAACATAAATTATATCTAGTTAGCTGTTTTTAAGCACACAGCATACATGTACAAAGAAGTTAATTATCTTTGTCAACTTGAGTACAGGCAAACTGTTACCTTGAGTCATCCTCATCTGATTTACGAACCTCCGCTGAACCCCTGAGATACAAAAAAAATTTAATTCATCATAAATTTGTTTTTTTTCAGAAAATTACCCTTATATTTGATCAATGCATAAAAATAATGTATATTACCTTGATTCTTCACCATGGATATCAGGATCATACAGACATCCAAGAAGATCTGTAATCATGGTCATGCTGTCCGAGGTATCCTCAATTTCAAAAGAGAACTCTTCATTTGTTTCCTCTTGTAACATTTCTAACAATGGAACAAAATGATTTGGACGCCACTGCAATTCTGGGATGTCTGTTCCAAGAACATTACTCCACATGATATGAACTGTCTCTGGTCTGGTTTTGCTTGCCAGTCTGTAAGGTATAAATTTCCTATGAAGGTCTATTCTGACGGTGGAACCTCCATATTCTGGATACACAGATATAATTACTGTGTTAAGGTTATTTGACAGTGCCGCTATCTGCCAAATACCCATATATGAATTTTTCGAACAAAGGCCAAGAACTTCTGCCCGATATATCCTTCTTATGGTTGTAGGGGTCAATTTTTGATCACGATATTGTTCAGAAAACATTTGCCATGTTTTCACTATACTGCCATTAACATCTGCATTTGCTCCTGTAGCCAGATATGCGTCACTAAGATATTTTTCTTCACTTTCAACAAGTTCTTTTATGATTCTGACTCGCATTTCCAAGTGTCTGTCTTCAATTCCATATACTAGTACACTCGCAGTTCTTGGAAGGCAGTTTCCATCCGCATACACCCTAGCTGGGTATAATGCTTTTATTTGGTAGTCAGCTGGCAATAGCTTTAGAGCTGAATTGTCCATGATAAGTCCATGTGATATGAATGTAACTTTAGGTAGTTTCAGAATTGGAGGAAATTCTGTTGCAAACTCTGTTATTTTGATTTGAATATCATCAAAAGTTGTACACGACTCCAATTTCCTCCAAGCTGATTCTACAATAGTGCAATCGACTTCTTTAATCAACCTTCCATCATGTTCATTAGAGTCAGTCACAAGGATGTTTGGTTCTGGTACAGACACTTCTGGATCTGATTCAGAGACTTCTGGTCTTTTCACTTCTGCATTCTGTCTCCTTCTGCGTTTTCTCTTTGAGACATCTAATTCTTCTGGTTCTGACTCGGAGACTTCTGATCTCTCCACTTCTGCATTCTTTCTCCTTCTGCGTTTTCTCTTAAAGACATCTAGTTCTTCTGTTTCTGATCTCTCCACTTCTGCATTCTTTCTCCTGCTGCCTTTTCTCTTTGAGGCGTCTAGTTCTGGTGCTGACACTCCTGGTTCTGACTCAGAGACTTCTGGTCTTTTCACTTCTGCATTCTGTCTCCTTCTGCGTTTTCTATTAGAGACATCTAGTTCTTCTGTTTCTGACTCGGAGACTTCTGATCTCTCCACTTCTGCATTCTTTCTCCTGCTGCCTTTTCTCTTTGAGACGTCTAGTTCTGGTGCAGACACTCCTGGTTCTGACTCAGAGACTTCTGCTCTTTTCACTTCTGCATTCTGTCTCCTTCTGCGTTTTCTCTTTGAGACACCTAGTTCTTCTGGTTCTGACTCGGAGACTTCTGATCTCTCCACTTCTGCATTCTTTCTCCTTCTGCGTTTTCTCGTTTCCTCTTCAACGGTGTTTACAATTACTACCTTTTGAACGTAAGGATTCACATAACTTTCATTTAAACAAGTTGCTGTGTCACTCTCACACCCGTTGCAAAAACAAGACAAGTTTCTGAACTTCAGTGACCCCTGCTGTACTCCATAATTCAACACCTGGTGAAATTTTCGCGTTCCAACAACCATCTTTGCTTCCTTACCCCTTCCTCCTCCAGTTCTTTGGATTTCATTTTCTTTTACTAAAAAGAACCTTCGTTTTGTCAATAATTCATCAACTGCAAGGTATGCATTGCAGTATTCAAACATATCACTTGCATTATTGATTGTTACTTTATTCCCTACTTTGGCTCT